ACGCCACTGCGTCAGTTGGCAAGCTCGGAGCACGTGGCCGGCCGCCAAGATTTCCATCACTCAAAAACACATTAGCACTATTTTGGTCGCTTGAACCTATCACAACGCGCTATAAATTCGCTAACTGACAGAGTAACTGGGCCCCCACCAGAACTGAGAGTCCCGCTGCTATTGCTACGTCTTGCTGTGGTCTCAAGGAAACTCACGCACACTTGAGATCAGAGCCGCTTTTGCAATGGCAAGCCACACATGTAATTCGATCAGATAGCATGCGGCACGCGTAGACGAGTCGTTTCGCTTTGTCAGCCACTGCGCGAACACTCACCTCCTCCCACCCCACTCACAACCAGAGATATAAAAAAATCCCAACCTCTATTCATCACATCTGTATCGTTAGCCGATCTGATTGGCTAGTTGCGAACGGCCAATCAGTGCCCCCCATTTCTCACGCCTTATCTGCACAGTCTTATGACACGCCACTGGCCCTGTATTGGAAATTGGCGGGATAATCCGGTACCACTCGGGACTGTGAGTCAGAATCCAAGGCCTCCTATGGCAGCCTCACCTTCGTTGGGCCCACGGTGCGGTCTGCAAGCGTGTGGTACGCGAAGACGCTGTTCCTGTCTATGTTCAACCTATCCGAGCATAGCCTAAATAAGCCCCAAACAGCTGCCGTCAAAGTCGATCCCATCATCCGTTTATTGAGCACACTTAACGGTCTCAATTGTTTGTACGTACTGCCGTCTTGTGAATAATCTTTATAGTCGGTCCGTAGCCTGCGGCTGTTTGCAAAGGTGCCCGTGGGGCACCGATGTGAATAAACCGACGCACAACAATCCCGAGAGTTGTTTTTGGTTGCCATAACCGCCATCAACAAGGGAAGAAATAAGTAGTATATTTTGTTCATAGGACTTTTAGATGGGCTAAGGTATGAACACCGAGCAGGGGGAGAGGGGGGAGGATTCGTCTTGTATACATCATTGACAGGGGTTAGCGATGGTGATGGATGGGGAGGGAGGGGGCGGAGCGGAAATTTACACGAGGGTAACTAACTCCTACAGTGGCGCGAGGACAGCTGAAAGAACGTAAACACAGACACACACAGGCACGAAGACAAAAATGCAAGACGACACTTCCCGTACGGGGCTAACACAAAACAGGGGAGAAACCAGGTCAAAAATAGGTAAAACTAAGACGCGGCTTGTACACACACAAACTTGCAGGGAGGCGAGGGGACGGCGTGCGTAAGCCAATGTATCACAGCCTAGGATATCTGAGGCGCATAAGAGACGTGACAAAACGGAAGGAGGTTGAAGTTGAGTTGCGCGGGACGAAAGGGGAAGTCGTTCAAGGAGCGTCGCGGCCTTCCTCAAGAATGCAGTCCGCTAGTGTGCTTCCTGGCGGTACGCGACTTAGGATGTCCGAAAAGTAGGTACCCACATCCACTTCTGCCTTTAAGGAGGTTTGATACCACTCAAGCTTCTGTGGGCGGAAAAATAAGGTGTAAGAGAGTGGAATGGGAGGGGGTGGGGTAGACTGGGGAGCTTACAGCCCCTGCCTCGAGGATACTGACTGAAGCACAAGGCAAGACTACGCGAGGGGTAAAAAAATAAGGTGATGTTGTGTGCGCAATAAGTGACGAAATTAACGAAATGTCAGGGGCAGTTGCAGGTGCGTTTTTTTATCTCGCGCAAGCCCAATCTGGGTTATTTTGTTGGCAAAAATAGGTCACTGTTGATGGAGATAGGCAGTTTCTTACAGTCCGTATTCGTGTATAGTAAAAGGTGAAGCGGCACTTCGATGTACATTTTCCGTGTAAACCAGGTTGTTGTTGGTGTTAGAGAAACGGGAACGTTTTGTGCCTTACAAATGCTAGCGTGTAAACTTGCGGAATTATTTGCTGTAGATGTCACTAATTGCCCGCATATTTTACCAAACTAACGCTACGAAGTAGACCCGGTTGGGGAACATACTTAAAACACCAGGCCTTTCAGGAACAGAGTCGCATCAAAATCATTCCGCCAGTGAGTTACGCCATTTTGGCAAGTAACTTCTGAGAAGCCTAAACAGTTGAACTGGAGTATCCATCAGAAATCAGAGGGAGAACGTCGGCAGCGGGGACATCCAATCCCTCAAAGCTCTGTGATTCAACAGCAGGATATCGGCGAGAAGTGTGTGTCTGGGCTTTTAACTATTCCCTACACTGCGAGTAGAGTAAACTACGCAACGTGTATTACTGCACCCCCAAACAGGCCATGCGGTAGATGCGCTGGACAAACACGGGGGCTAAATCAGAGCACAGCAAGTCCATAAGAAACTCTACACATGGAGGAGTGAAAGTGTGATGGCACGCATAGGTGCGTAGGTTCACGCCGCACCATCCATCCATCTGTGTCCGGTCTTCTTGACGCTGTCTTGACACCGGGCACAAGAGGGTGGGGGAAGAGAGAGTGTAGTAGATGCGGCGAAAGTCACCGTCCCTGCACCCAACTTGTTATGAGGCATACGGTCGACCTCGTCGGTATCGACTGTCATGTGTTAATGACTACCTGTCGAGTTTGTGAGTACTGTGAGTTTATTCCACTGAAGCTGGTGGATTGCGCCCTGGCGGATGGAATCACTGACCGATTTCGTTGAGTATTAACCTTGTTTTCGACTATCAAATATTACTTGAGAGCGATTAAGTAGCATGTGACATAATCCCATGATATTTCAGACTAGCCAGAATGCCAGCTTTTAAATGCAATTCCACATGACAGCATCCTACTACTTGCGTAGTAGACATTCCTATATTGATGTTCGATGTCACTGTAAAATATATTTCATTGAAAAAATGCTCGAAACCGCCTCTCTTGTATTCAGTTGGCAACTAATTTTGTCTTCTGCAAAACTTCAACTCGATGAAAGGTGATTTTTCGGTTTTAAAAGTTTCCCATTATGAGATTTTTCGAGACTATACAAGATCCATTCAAATCACATAGTATCTTTCCGTTTTTTAATGCCACTCACGAAGTAACCAACATAATAAACACCCCTTGCAAACTCTTATGAGCACTATGTGGTATCTTCTTAATGGCACGGAATAATGCATGCTAGTACTTACACAGAAAGCATACAGTTGCAAGACTGGAAATTCTACGCACACAAAGGCGACGGGGGATCAGATTCAATTCTTTTCGGGAATTTGGACACTTTTTCAAACATACAGATACGCTTTCTTTGTGAATAAAAAAAAACTGAAGACATGATCGGCTAACAAATGAAGAGGAATGTATGTCCCCGTTCGTATTATCACCCATTCCTTTGCGTCCACGGAAACCCTAGAAAATACTGTTCGCTCATCGATGTGCAATAGCCTGCAAGGACTGGACATCGAGCTCTAAGACAGCCACTGGTAACCGAACCCTGCACAGTACAAAGGACAAACCGCAGTTTGTGGTCTAGGGACAGGGGATTAGAATAAAAACTTTAATAGCCGATTGATGATAGAGAGAGCGGCAAAACTCACCATCAAGGCGGGGTACTTGGGTCGAGACTGGAAGTCCTTCTTTAAACACTCGGAAACAAATTGCCGGAAGGCGGGAGAAAACGCATCCTCGCTGTTGTTGGCGTCATCCTCGTTTTCCTCTGGCTCATCTCCGTCCACAAGTTCGGGTCGCGGTCTGGCGGGACCACGATAGGCCTTGCCTTTCGGAGTGCGCGGAAGTTGTGGCGGAGGTCCATCAAGGACGCAAGTCAGCTGCTCGAATACGGAGTGCCAGGAGGGATACGGAAATTGTCCGGTAGCGAGCTCAATGAGGGTTATGCCGAAACTCCAGACGTCTGAGCGTACATCATAACCCTTGACGCTGAGGCTAGGCTGAATACGTTCAGGCTGTGGGGGGAGGGAGGAAGAGGGAGAAGATAAGGCCACTGAGAA